CCAGGCTGGTCTAGAACTCCTGACCTCAGGTGATCCACCTGCATCGGCCTCCCAAAGTGCTGGGATTACAGGTGTGAGCCACCACGCCTGGCCTTTAGCCTGAACATTTAAAATTCATAAATTAGCCCAAAGTACATCCCATGGACTACAACAGAAAGCATCCCATTTTCTAAACTGTTGCCTTTGTGACTCTCCAACATACTGTTAAGTAAAGATAAGATCATTAATGATCCCGTGATGAGCTAGATAATGCATCAGCCTCTCTTATATTTAATATAAATCTAAAAGGAAAGCAATAGTGTTGAAACGTAAGGCATTGAGACACAGTGATGGAGGTCACATCTAAGAGTTCAGGAGCACGGAATATTTGACAGTGTTCTTTACGTCAACTAAACAGCAAGAACACTCCTTAGGAGTTCCTGTGGTACTCCAACAGGGGGACTTCCAAGGTTTTAAGAAGTACTTGTGCAGAGAACTGGAGACGATTCCCTACCTGACGTCTGCAGGGTCTTCCGTGACGAGCACATCGGTCTTGCAGCTGGCCAGAGGGTTGATGGACAGCTCCACCGGCGGAACCACAAAGCTTTTGCTGACAGGAAGCCAGAGGCCTTGGCCCAAGCTGAAAGTAGACCTGCAATGTAAGAGTTTCCATTGGGGAACTCCCTGGGAAGCAGAGAGCAAACAGACAAAAGGGGCCCCTGTTCCCATCCCTTCTAGGGCAATTTCCTAATTCTCCACCCATGTCCCCTGCATTATTTAAGGAATGATGTCGGCCAACTTTCTCCAGAACTGGATGATCATTTCTCAAATCTGTTAAACATTTAGCTCATGAATTGCTTTGTGTTACTAAGTTCCTTTTCCTGATTTACTAGTGGACTCCGTGAGGATAGGGACCATTGCCGCTCTGATTTTCCAGCAGTCCTGACATACAGCAGGTGTTCCACAAGCGACTGCTATGTCAGCAGGGACAGTCTGGCACAAAGGTTAAGAGCATGGACTTTGAATCAGTTTGAACTAAAATCTGATTTCCAGTGCTGCCACTTAATTTGCTGTATGTCTTTATCTACATGTGTATTGAAGTTTTACACAAGATTTTGTGGAGGTAGTGGGAAGAGGTTCTATGGTTACAGAGTATTTTTAAACCACTGGACTTAATAATCAGTAATGTCTCCTCCAGTTCAAGTATCTGAGTCTATAAGTCTAGCTGCCAGACAAATGGGAATTAGATTCCCATAGCAACCTGGGCCATGATGGTACATTAGTGCCAGGGAGGGTTGTTTTGTACTCAGTGCAGCTCAGAAGAGCACAGGCTCAATAGTCTAAGGATGCATGACCACATCTTCCTATCAGTCCTTTCTCCATTTCCCAGAATTATGCCCAAACAAGAAAGCCAACTCACCTGAGAATCTTTTCAGGGGCTTGCTCCCCTGTCACCAGATCATAGCCCCTCTCAAGTGTTGTGTAGGGCCAAGGTCTATGGGAAGAAGGAGAGGGGAGAGGAGATGACATTAGTCAGAGGCAGGTAGGATTCGCACGTGGCCACTGCTCTAGAGCAGCTTTACAAACAACCACATTCTGCAGAAATAATTATTGGGCAAGACTATTTATATTATAAAAGAATGTCTCCAATTTACAGAAGGATTCAGCACTTTCATAAAGTGTACATGTCCATTCAGGAGTCTGTTTGAAAATGTTATTCTTTTTCTTTGTCAGTCCACTTAAGAAAGTGTTCACTGACTACTTTGTTTGCGTGGGTGACTTAAATGTCAGCCTTTGTTCTAGAATATTCATCAATCATGTACCTTTAATACTAAAATGTGATTCCATGGGTTTTGCAGGAACACTACTTCCCATTGGGTTTTGCAGGAACATTACTGTTGCAGAGAAAGAGTCTTCTTTGTGGAGATGCCTGGGGCCTCTGGTAACACAACAGAGGAGGTAAAACTCGGTCCTGCACTGTCCTGGACCTAAAGCCCTTTGTCACTCACCCTTCACTCTGTCCCCAGTCACTGCGCACACACAGGTGTCTGTGAACAGGGTCAGGGGCATAGCCTTCATAGCAGCTGCACTCTCCTGTAAGTGAAAAGAAAAACAATTATTGTGAAGTAGAGTCTCCCCAAATAGGCTTTTCCCCGGTTTGCCTGTTTTCCTAAGACTTATATGAAGTGAGCTGCTTAGTTTTAGAAAAGGCACATGGAAAGAGGGCAATCTGGTCCATTGATCACTGTGGTTAACAGAGTTTACTCCTTTGTTCATTCACTCATTTATTCCTTCAACAAGTCCTGGTCACACTCTGGGAGGCGCTCAGCTCAGCAGTGGAGATACAGAGGTCAAAGTGGTAATCCAGCCGCTGAAGGAGCTCACAACTTAAGACAGGGAAACAGGAAGTGATCAGGTGGCTACAAATGGAGGTCGTCCTTTCAAATATTAAAATTACGATAAAGTGCATTTACTCTAGAGGCATAATCAGAAAACTGAGTTATCTCCATCTGAATGAAGAGGTCTTCACTTTCCATAAATCCCAAATTAAATGCCACCATCTTCAAGAAACCTTTGATTTCCCCCTTCAGAAAAATCCCGTCTGTAGTCTCCTGGTTTTATTTTGGGTTGTTTTTCATTTTAAAATTGTTTCTCCCCTCCTCCCCTTCCCTCTACTGCCATCTCTTCTCTTGTCCTCTTTTCTCCTCTCCCTCTCTCTTGCCATTCTTTTTCATTTCCTTCCCTTCCATCCATTCGTTCATGAATCCATCCATCCATCCATTATTTTTTTTCAGGCCATGGCTTACGCTTGGTTGCATGAATGCTTGCTAGCATTACACACTGCCTTAAGTACATTCTCTCATTGGCCAAGTTCATTTCAAGTGGCCAGCATATGTCCCATTTCCTAGTATATCTTTGGAGTCCAGAATCCTAGAGGTGATTTCAGAATCTCTCTGTCCTACTCCCAGCTGTTGTCATTTATTCTCTACTGTATACTTAAGGTATAGAATTTCTTTTTCTCTTTTTTTTGAGACTGAGAGTCTCACTCCATCGCCCAGACTGGAGTGCAGTGGCATGATCTTAGCTCACTGAAACCTCCTCCTCCCAGGTTCAAGTGATTCTCCTGTCTCAGCTTCCCAAGTAACTGGGATTACAGGCATGAATCACCATGCCCAGCTAATTTTTGTATTTTAGGTAGAGATGGGGTTTCATCATGTTAGCCAGGCTAGTCTCGAACTCCTGAACTCAAGTGATCTGCCCATCTCAGCCTCCCAAAGTGCTGGGATTACAGGTGTGAGCCACCGTGCCTGGCCTAGAAACATTTTTTGATTTAATGAGTTACTGCTTTTTTCTCTAAGGTGTATTTGTGGGATGCTTAAAGATGGTTTACCAAAAATAAATTCTATTTAAAAATGTGTTTGGGTAATACTACCCTATTCCTTAAAGCCAGTGTAGTGTGATTCTCCATCAGGGTGATACATACACGATTTTCACCAACTTATTTTCCTTTGGGAGCCTTGTTGGTGGAATGACTCACAGGATTATAATTCTATGGAAAACCTCTTGGGAAATGCTGGTAGGAACCGCCCTGGCTTTGCCTACTGCCTAGAATAGGGTTGGTGCTTAACAATATGAGTTGAATGAATAATCAACTATCTGTTATGGCTCTGGTAAACTTCCAGGCTAATGAGGTTGGCTTGTCTTCTTTCTCATCTTCTTGTAATCACATTTTCTCTCTCTCTCTGTATGTCTCTCTCTCACAGACACACACACACACACACACACACACACACACACACACAGAGAGAGATAAACCTGTCACCCTTGGATCCTACAGTGATCCTGATAGATAGGACCCAAAAGTTTTCAAATCATGTCCGTGGAAATGTATTACTTCACAGAGATTTTGGGACTATGCAAATTTTATATTTTACTTTTTCTTAAAGGTTTTATTTTTAAATTTTTAAAAATACAAAAACAAGAATAAACACTCAGATATCACATGCCAGAATTTAGGATACTGAAGAAAGTATCAGTTGCCAGATAAACTTATTTTATCCAGGCTTCAGGGAAAAAAAAATAATCTCCTGTCATCTTTGTTTCATCTAAAAGGATACTGAGGATGAGTCAAGGTGCCAACAAGCTCATGCTATTTGCAACTACATATTTTGTGAATCAGGATTTTCTCAACTTTATACAACTAAAACACAACATTGTAGTAAATAGAATACTAGGGTAACATGGGTTCTACAACTATCACCCTTAACTCTGGATTTTGAAATGTATGTATTCATCAAGTAAAATTACTGTTCTCTCTGAATAACTGTAAATGTTATATATTTAACCTTCTATGAAGCATTCTGAGTGTTTAAAAACACTGTAACTTGTTTTATAGATGACACTGCTGCTTAATCTTTGTATTCCCAGCACCTATTGACAAATAGCCTGCACTTCATGAATGCTGCCTGAACAAAAAATGGTAGTAAGACAGAGTATGGAGTGAAGAATGGGTCAGAGATAGTATTCAAAATATGCAGAATGAGGTTGTTGAAAGACATAAGGAGAGACAGAAGACAGGTCCTTTTCCTCTTATCTGCTTACCTGGAAAATAAGGAGGGTTTACTCACAGGTAAAAATGGTTTCTGTACTCCTCCCCTGCAACGTCACGCCTAGGGTCTTCCACCAAGTGGAAGTGCTGTAAGTATTGCTGCCTAATAAACTGATTGTTGCCAGAGGTAAGGGGAATGGAAGGAAAAGGCTAAGAGCCTTGAATGTGGACGAAAATAATTTACCAAAGGGGGGAGGGGCAGGAGTCACTAATGATGTGTTAAAATGCAACAGTCCCTTCATGAAATATTCACCACTTTAAACACATCTAATATTAAAGATTAAAAGTCCTGGGATTTGTCCTCGAGACTCCCTGGACTGATTTATGATCTGCCACAAGCCACAGGCCTCATGATTCATAATGGCAGAGGTAAAATGGTTACCTCTGGCAAAGGAGTAGGAAGTCAGGCTGGGGTGGGCGAGGAGGGGCCAGCAAGGAGGATCCCTCTTCTTTATGGAAAGGGCAAAGGCTGAGGTCCCTGTCTCTCCTGCGGTGACCTGCAGGAGATAGCACAGTTCACTTCTTTCCTCTTTCTCTCGGTTTTGGAAATACTGGTGAGATTGAGAAATTTATTCAGAAAAAGGGTGCTGCTATGTTTTTCTTTCCTCCTTGTGTGCTTACTAGGCAAGTTTTCCCTGACTCACAATGGATCATTAGTTACTGATGCTCATTATACAACAAATACATATTTTGCAATTAAGAGGCATTCACCCTGGAGACCCCCATGAGGCTGCCTGGAGAACAGAAAGTAGGCAGACGGAAAAGTCCCTGAGTGCTAGCAGCTGGTGGACGTGGTCCCATCCTCTTGCTCTCTCCCTAGTTGTGTGGCCTTAGTCAGCTTTTTGGTTTCAGCTTTCTCATTTACAGAATAGGGATGATAGCAATGTCCATTTCCTAGAGCTGATGTAAGAACAAATTGAAATAGTAAAGAATAAAGCTAGTGGCTCAGGTGACAACTAGTTGATGGTGAAGAAGTGAGTTTCTGGGTACTATGCACACTACACGGGTGCAACATATGAATGTAACAAACCCGTAAATGTACCCCCTATATAAATAAAAGTTGAATTAAAAAAAAGTGTTTCCTTCCCTTTAATTCCAAGCTGGCCACTGGGTTCTGATATATATTTACATTTAGACAAAACTGTCACCCCTAACTCCTTACATATTAGACATGTAGAGACACAAATTACCTCCTTTTGGGGCCTCAGTTTCTCCTTCTGTAAAACGGAAGGTTGGAGTAGATCACACATCAGTTCTGAGCACCAAGAGTCAGCTGTTTTCATTGCCTTTCCAAATCGCTAACCTCTGCTTTCTGGATACTGTTTGTTTTAGTTTCAGCTGCAATAATTCTTAGCAGCAGCCTGGGTCTCTAGCAAGATCTCCATCAATGCCATAGGTATTGGCTGTATTGACTCCTGTTTCCTATTTTGCTGGCTCAGCTAAATCTCCACTATTTGCAACCAGGCATTTCCTTCTTGTCAGATGCAAAGCCTCTGACAGCCAGAGCTGAGGGTAATTAACCTCTTCCCTGGGTGAGTCCTTTCTTCAACTCTGCTTCTGCACACCCAGAGCAGCAAGGCCATCAAAGAACAGTTCTCCAGGGATATGTGTAACCGGGCTGACTGTGAACTCCCACACTCCCTATCCCTATAACTTTAGTACCTTCCTTGCTCACTACTGCATCTCAGCACCTCCTGCATTGCCTGGTGCAGAGTAGGGATTCAGTAAATAAATGCTAAATAGATAAAGGGATATATTTCACAATAGTAATGCCTATGCCAATGGAACAGGGCAATAATTTTTACTTGCCTGTTCCCCCACTAAGCTGAGAATTTCTTGATGGCAAAAACATTTTCTTAATCATCCTGTATTCTAATAATTAGTATAGTGCATGATAAAGGGTTGGCAAGTCATTTACTGAATGAATGAATGAATGAATGAATGAATGAATGAATTAGCGAATTCATACATATATCATGATTATCATGAATTTAGGCTGAGTTCATTTAGAATAATGATGACTCTGCTGAGGACTGGAAGAAACTTTCTACATCCAAGATAGGTATTTGCCAAGGAAACAAAGAGTGCAAACACAAGTGCTGATGAAAGGTCCAAAATAGAATTTTATTTCACATCAGAGTAGAAAAGACCCTTCAAGACCAGCTAGTTCAAACTTTCCCAGTTTCATTATTCAGAAGAAGAAACTCAAGCTAAGAGAGTAAAGGAGTTTGTCCAAATCACTGGCCTAGCCTCTGGGCCAGCCGGGATGAAAACCCAGGGTTCTCGGCCGCCACTTCAGTGTCCTTTTGCTGCATTGGTGGTATCAATAGTTCAAAGCATTCTGAAGCCTTTTGTAGCAATTTTTTTGTACAAAAGGTTTTTTTGATATTACTAAGTTTTCTAAAAATGAGAGCATTTACAAACGGGTATTATTTAAACAGTAAAATGAATTTGAAATGCCCGTAAGTGCATTCAAGACATACAT